CAGTGGTTAAGAACACTAGCTGGTCTTCCAGAGGTCCTGAGTTCAATTCCCAACAACCACATGATGGCTCACAACCATCTGAAATGAGATCTGCTGCCCTCTTCCAGCCTGCAGGTATACATGTGGACATAACACTGTATAAATAATAAATAAATAAATAAATAAATACTTATAAAAAATAAGTAAAAATAAAAACAGTAAGATTTTATGCTTAAGAAAAAACTCACAACCAGATAGCAATGGTAAATGCCTTTAGTTACAACATTCAGGATGCAGAGGCCAGCCTTGTCTACAGAGTGAGTTCCAGGACAGTTAAGACTACACAGAGAAACCCTGTCTCAAAAAACTAAAAGGAAAAGAAAAAAAGATCACATTTTACATAATGTTTAGAATTATTGGATTTATTTTCTATTTACTTCTAAAAAATTACTTTTCAGAACAGTTGGTAAAAGCAAGAACTTGCAAAGTAAATTCCTAGTTGTTATTTTTCTTTACGTTCAAGAAAACAAGGTTGGACTGTTAAACAGAGAAACCCTATTCAAAAAACCAATATCCATCCCGCTCCCCACCTCCACACACACCCCCAAAAAAACCCAGAGCCAAACAAACAAAAACAACGTGGAACTGGGGAGATGGCTCAGTGTTTAAGAGCATTGGCTGTTCTTGCAGGGCCAGATTCAATCCCCAGCACCCAGATGGCAGCTCACAGTTCCAGGTGATCTGACAACTTCACACAGACATACATGCAGGCAAAACACCAGTGCAAAAAAGTAAAATAGTTAAAAATATTAAAATAGAAAACACACCTTAGATTTAGGGTTGGGGAGATGCCTCAGTGATTAAAATGCTGGTTCTACAAGGGTGAGGACCAGAGTTTAGATCCCTAGAACCAACAAAAATGCAGAGTAGATGTGTATTTCCAGCCTCAGAAGGCAGAAACAGAGGGTGCCCAGAGCAACAGGCTTGCAAGACTGCATACTCAGATTGGAGAACTCTGGGTTCAGTTGGGAGACCTCCCAATAAATAAGGTAGAAGAATTATAGAAGTATTCATACATACACACACTCACAAGTACACACACAAAAATGGAAAAAATGCTTAAGATTTATTTATGAGCATTTCAGATTTAGGATTTTTTTTTTTAAATGCTTGGCCTGTACTTTAAGACAATCACAGGAAATGAACAGGCTTGTTATGCGGGAATGGGGAACAATAACAACCTAAAAATGTGGGAGTGGCTTAGAGATTGAGTAATGTGTACAGAAAGGATTTTTCTAAAGTGCTTGACAGTAAGAGCTGATTGCCTTGCAGAGATTGTTGATAGGAATATGGATTTTAAAGGCACCACAGCAGACTGTGTTTAGAGCATGCAGTGGGCCCTGGGTTCATTTCTCAGCACTACAAAAACAAAATAAAATATAAATTAAGTAAAAAGTAAAGACACACACACACACACACACACACACACACAAAACTAGGTGTCTAGTTACACACCTGTAGTCCCAGCATCTTAGGAAGTGGAGAAGGGAGATCACTTGATCCCAAAGTTTAAGACCATAGTCTCAAACCAAACAGTAACCTCAGTAATTTTATGTAATACCTAAGGGGTGGGGTCCATTAACACAAAAACAGTACCACTAGTTTAAGAACATTATCCTAATAAAAAGAAAAATGGGAGCTGGAGAAATGGCTCTGAGATTAAAACACTGGCTGCTCTCACAGAGGACCCAGGTTCTTCCCAGCACCCACATGGCAGCTCACAACCCAAGGAATCTGACACCCTCTTCTGGCCTCTGTGGTACCAGGCATATACATGGTACACATACATGGAGGAAAAACACCCATGCATGCCTTTAATCCCAGCACTTGGGAAGCCGAGGCAGGAGGATCTCTGTGAGTTCTCGAGGACAGCCTGGTCTACAGAGTGAGTTCCAGAACAGCCAAGGCTACACAGAGAAACCTTGTCTCAGAAAACAAAACAAATTTAATGTCATCTTTATTATCACAAAACTATTGGGGCCAATATCACATTAGAGCTAATAAAATAGTATTTTTTATTTATTATTTATGCAGTACTGGGCATGGAACCCAGGGAGGGCCTTGACCACCCTAAGCAAGTGTTTTACCACTAAGCTAAATACAACCACATCCGAACTAAAAAAAACTACCTTTCAAATGCAGAAAGTAGCTGGGTGTAGAGGTTCACACCTGTAATCCCAACACTTGGCACGAAGACTGCTGAGTTAGAAGCCTGCCTGGGCTACACAGTAAATCTGAGACTAGCCCCTCCTAATTCCCAATTAAACTTAAGCTCTCTGCCTATGGTTCCTTGTGATTCCATTATTTTCTTTCTAAATTTTGAGACAAGACCTATGTTGCCTGGGATGGCCGTGAACAAGTAGGCTCAGCAATGCTGCCTCTCCTGCTCTAGAGATTTCTGTATTCCTCTAGATAAGTTAAACCCTAGTTACAAGTTCACAAAACATGCTGCGGTTTTTAGTTTGAAGAACTTCCAGGGATTTTATTGTTTATAATCTTCCTACTACTGGCCTTCTTTATGAAGGCAAGGATAGTCATCACCCTCCTCCATTCATCATCTTTCATGGTTGTCACTCTCCTCCACTCACCGCCCCTCGGGGTTGTCACCCTTATCACTCACACTGTCCCTCGGGGTCGTTTCCCTTCTCTCTCACTGCCCTCATGATCGTCGCCTCTTTCACTGACCCCTCTCTTGGAGGTCTCCCTCCTCACCGCCCCTCAAGGTTGTCACCCTCCTCCACTCTCCGCCCCTCGGGGTCGCCTCCCTCCCCTGCCGAGGGTCCTGAGCTTCAGCTTCCCTGCACCCTCCTCGACGGCCTTGTCACCTTGGCAGGCTGACCCATGGCTCCCCACGCTGCTGCCACCGCCTCTCAAGCCGCCCCCTCTGAGTAGCCAATCAGGGCCGGGGCGTAGCCGGTGACGCTCCCACATGGCAACCAATAAGAACGCAGCACCTCCTTCCTGGCCCGCCTTCTCTGCAGGACGAAGGCCCGGCGTTTGCTAAGTAGAGCGATCACTAAAACCGCGAGAAACCGCGGAGCCAAACTACCAAAAGGAGAGCGGAAGTAACCGGAAGCCACGTTTGTTAGGGGCAGGGTCCCTTCCGCCTTGCAGAGCGTGGCGTACGTACGCCCGGTTATTAATGTGTGACTTCCTCACCTGCTCGTTTTTTACCGCCTGTTTAAGGGCGTGGGTCGTCTCTTAAAGTTCCTGTATGTTAACGTTTCCCAGCTGTGACTGGCTCCTTGGAAACGGAAGCAAACAAAAGCCAGGCCCTAACAAACATAGCCAGTACATATCAGAACGTTGACTCCTGAAAGTTCTGTTTATACATTCGCTTAACTCTTCCCCCAGAAGGTGCGGCTGAGCTGCCTGCTCAAATTCACACGCTTGATCCCAAAGACTCCTCACCCTCTGCATTATCATTACTCTACTTATCTTGCCCTGCTCTTTGGTTTTGCTGAGGTAGGAAATCATTTATTAAAAGCTTCATGGTCATAAAACATTCATTTACATTTTAACTTGGAACTTGCAGGCATGAATTAAATTTTCTACCTTCTGTTTCACAACCATTTGCCTTCAACACTCCTGTAGCATTTCAGGTTACTTTTAGAGAATAGGGACTGCTTATTAAGAAACAAAGATTTGGGAGCTGGGTATGGTGGCACATGCCTGTAAGCCTAGCATTTGGGAGGTAAAGTCAGGAGCATCAGGAGTAAAAGAACAGCCCCAGCCTTTATAAGAAACTGTCTCAATAAAAAATAAATAAATAAATAAATAAATAAATAAATAAATAAATAAAAAGGGATGGTCGGTTGGTGGTGACTCCTGCCTTTAATCCCAACACTTGGGAGGCAAAGCCAGGGGGGATTTCTGAGTTCCTGGTCTACAGAGTGAGTTCCAAGACAGCCAAGTCTACAGAGAAAACTTGTCTTGAAAAATAAAACAAAAAGTGTGGGCAGGTTTGGTTAGGTTTTGAGACAGGGTCTCTATAATCCTGCCTGATTTGGAGCTTGCTATATAAATCAGGATGGTCTCAAACTTACAGAGATCTGCCTGCCTCTGACTCCGGAGTGCTGGAATTAAAGTCATACATCACCACACCTGTAATCTTCCTCAGAAATGCCTTCTACTTTGAGACCTAGAATTTGCCTAGTACTCACCAGTTAGGCCAGACTAACTGGCATGGTTTCAGAGATCTTTCTGTCTCTGCCTTCCCGGTGCTAAGATTAAAAATGTGTAGCAGCATGTCTAGCAAGTCATCATGAGAACAGCAAAATAATTTTCAGCTTTTAAAAACTGTTGAAGATGGCTGGAGGAGAGCTAGTACAGAAGTTAAGAGTGCTGGCTTCAGGGGCTAGAGAGATGTCTCAGTGGTTAAGAGCACTGACTGCTCATCCAGAGGACCCAGGGTTTAATTCCCAGCACCCACATGGCAGCTCACAACTGTTGTTAACTCCTGTTCCAGAGGATCCAACATGACACCCTCACACAGACATACATGCAGGCAAAACACCAATGTACATAAAAAGAAAAAAAAAGTGCTGGCTGCTCTTCCAGAGGACCTAGGATCAATTCCCAGCACCCATTTGCAGCTAACAACAGTCTGTACCTCCAGTCCCCAGGGATCCAACACCCTCTTCTGGCCTCCAAGGATACCACATACAAATGGTGTAGACATACATTCAAGCAAACATCCACTCATAAAAATAAAAATCTAAAAAAAAAAAAAAAACTGTTATGGAAGTTCTAGATTTGCAGAAGAGCATTTAATATAACCAGTTAAATCAAATGTAGTAGCTATTATATTTTATCCAAGAAACAATAAATTAGGTGATCTGTGGCATTCAATTGTAATGCCTTCTGGAGTAATCATTTTTAGAAAAATTACACTTCAGTCCTGTCTTAGTTAGGGCTTTTATTGCTGAGATGAAACATCATGACCAAAAAGCAAGTTGGGGAGGAAAGAGTTTATTAGGCTTACACTTCCTCATTGCTATTCATCACTGAAGGAAGTCAGGACAGGAGCTCAGAGCAGGATCCTGGAGGCAGAAGCTGATGTAGAGGTCACGGAGGGATGCTGCTTACTGGCTTGCCTCCAATGGCTTACTCAACCTTCTTATAGAACCCAGGACCAGCAGCCCAGGGATGGCATCACCCACCATGGGCTGAGCCCTCCCCCACTGATCACTAAATGAGAAAATGCCTTACGGCTGGATCTCAAAATCACCCAGTACAAGTACTATAGCACAATTTCTTTAAAAAATATATAGTTTGTAGTAATAATTTGTGGCTAGAAAGTTAACCAAAAATCCTTCTGTGTTATTTGAAAATACAGTTCCTGTGACTGGGGAGAAGGCTCAGTCAGTGCTTAATAGCACTTACTGATCATGCAGAGGACCTGGGTTGACTTCCCAGCATCTACATGGCAGCTCACAACTATCTGTAACTCCGGTTCTGGGAGATCCTCTTCTTCTCTCCTACATACATGTGGTGCCCTCAAAGCCATGCAAGCATACACACATATAAATAAAATTTAAAAAGAAAATATAGTTCTACAGTGCCCAAATCATATGAGTTTTCCCTTAAACAAACACACTACAGTTCCTTCAGCTATTCCACAGAAGAAGTGAAATGGGATGACTCAGCACTCTTTACTGATCTGGTTATTCTGGGAGCATGTCCTTGTTTGCATCTGAACATGCAAACTGAACTGAAGAAACTCCCGAATGTAAGTTCACAGAACTGAGTGGCTGGCAGGATAAATGCTTCCTCCCTCCCGTCTTCCCAAAAAAGGATTCGTGCACTCAGATGCCCATAATTTCTCACTGTCTTACCTTGCAGGATAAATAAGGGTTTTAGCTAGGTGGATTAAATTAATATTTTGAGATGGGAATCTTTTTGTGTATTGTCTCGTGGGCCTAGTGAGTCGAATTGAAAGTGGAAGAAGGAAACGGGGACAGTTTGAAGATACTCATCTGCTGGCTTTGGAGATGAATAAAGAGGCCAACAAACCAGAGACCATGTGGTCTCTGGAAGCTGGGAAAGACAAGGGAGTGGACTGCCCTCTAGAGCCTCCAAGAAGAATGCAGCTCGTGTGACATGAGTTTTGCTCAGTGGAAACAAATTTGATTTAGGACACCCAGAATGCCACCGATCCATCATGTAAACCAGTATCTTGTATCCTCACTTGGCCATCACATCTCCTCTCCTCCCTTTCAAGGGCCCCGTGGTTACGCTGGGTTCACCCAGATAATCCAGGAGCCTGTCTCTTTCAGGCTCCTTAATTTAATCACAGCTGCAAAATACCCTTTACCTACTAACATAACATGCTCACAGGATCCTCCTGGGTCCCTGATGGGGCATGGACATACTCTGCTTACTTCATCCAGTTTGTGTGAAGCTAGAAATGGGAGTGAATGGAGGAGAAACAGCCAGGACATGATCATACAGGTTACTATTGGTCAAGATAAGGATTTTGGATTTCATTGAGATAGAATATTCTGGAATAGTGTCAGTAGGAGAGTGATATCATGGTTTACATTTTACAAACATCATTTTGGCTGGGTGTGGAGGCAGGAAGATCATGAGCTCGAGGTCATCCTTAGTTAAAGAGCAACTTCAAGTTCTGCCTGGGCTACAGGAGATCCTGTCTCAACAAAACTACTGAGGAGATGGCTCAGTTGGTAAAGTGCCTGCTACATAAACATGAGGATTGATTCCCCAGTACCACAAAAGCAAACCCATTTACTTACACACTGGCTCTGAACTGCCAGTCATCTCTGTCAGTGACAGTTGCAGGTTATCTTGTACTCAGTCAGGCTCAGCAGCTTGCATCTGTGAGTGTTAGTACTAACTTTATTTGCAAAGGGCTGGTTAGTAGATATTTTCAGCTCTGTGAATCCTATGGAGTCTGTCACTATTGGTTTGTTTTGTTTTTTCCAGACAGGTTTTCTCTGTATAATAGCCCTGACTGTCCTAGAACTTGCTCTGCAGACCAGACTGGCCATGAACTCATAGAGATCCGCCTGCCTCTGCCTCCTGAGTGCTGGGATTAAAGGTGTGCGACATCACTGATTGGCCAATGTCAATATTGTTGAACTGTACTGCCATAGTCTAGTAGCAGCCACAACAGATAGATAATGAACACACGTGTGTTTGTCCTAATAATGCTGGTATGGGCAATGACATTGAGTTTAAGTAGCATTTACAAATTATCACATATCTATAGTTTAATTTTTTTAATCAAGTAAAGTTTTAGAGTCCTGTAGTAAAGTTTGGTGAATATAGTTTACAATAACCTATTTTCAGCCAGGTAGTGGTGGCACACGCCTTTAATGCCAGCACTCTGGAGGCAGAGGCAGGCTGATCTCTGTGAGTTCGAGGCCAGCCTGGTCTACAAAGCTACACAGAGAAAAATCTTTTCTCAAAAGACCAAAATAAAATAACCTATTTTCTATCTAATGAATGACTACCAAAAAAAAGAGTTCACATCCTCCAAAACAATGTAAAGATAAAAGAATGCTGACTAATCTTTTTTAAATCAGCATATGCTATATACACAATTTGAAATATCAATTACTTCAATTACATATCAATTAAATATCAATTACAATATATATACAACTTGTATGTGTTAATTGAATTTTTTAAAGGCTTATTTTTATTTTATGTGTATGGGTGTTTTACCTGCATGGATATCTGTGTACCATATGCAGAGGATACCAGATGAGGGCATCAGATCCTCTGGATCTGGAGTCTACAGATGGTTGTGTAGACCCACTTTGTGGGTGCCAGAACTGAACTGGTTCCTCTTGAAGAGCAGTCGGTGTTCTTAACCACTGAGCTATCTCTCCAGTCCTAATTAATTTTATATTTATAAAGACAGCCTGAGGCGTTATACATATTTTGTCACTATACATGAATCAACACTGCATTTAACAAATATGTAACATTAATAATTCAGGGGCTGGAGAGATGGCTCGGTGGT